TAATTGGACACGGTCACGATTTGTTTATTCAAGGAATACGCACAACCCTCTTTCGAATCAGTATTAATTTTATTGATTTAATAAAATAATTATTAAACTCAATATAATTTTACAATATTTATGAATTAAAAATAAATTTAAATTAAAAAAAATCGTTTTTTAATGAAATTTAGAAAAAAATAATATTTATAATAGTTGATTTAGATTTAGTAACCAGATAATATTATAAAAATATTTTACTATTACAATATTAATATATATTTATTATAATATATTTTACAATATAACTAACTACTATATTTGAGACTGAGTAATCAAAAGAGCCTTAAACATTATGAAGTTATGGTTACTTAAGAAACAGTATCTAATATTATATATTTTTGTAATTAAATTCGGATATTAAGAAATTAAAAATGTATTAAATATAAAGAATTTAGGTATTACACCTCCAATGTATCAAAGAATTATAAAGTAACGCCATGTCTAGACAATTCAAATATAATTATTTGGTTACAATACTTGATAACTATAGCAAATATTTTAAAACAGGTTTGGACTTTCTTGTGTTCTCTAAGCGTCCACGCTGCGATTTGATGAATACAATAACCAGACTAATGCTCGCGTAGTCGCATTGCGTCTCGGTGGTTATACTCGTAAGTAAGGAGTGAGTGAAAAGAGCCGTGTCAGACACTTAAGAATGTTGATGAAAATTCCTAAAAGCTCATCCCGAGAAACCAACATATAGACCGTCTTGAAGAAGACGACAGTCAGAGGAAGATTTGACACGTATAAATAGAGTTTCATGAAATCGAAAAATATTGAAAGATTGGCAGAATGGAGTACCGAAGAGGCAGAGTTTTTAAGCCGGAATAGATGTAACAGCATTTAATGTAATTCTATAAATTCACCCTTGTATAGTAAGAAAAATTCCATAGTTATTTAAATGATTCGTTTTATCTATTTACTCTTAATATGACGTGATTAGCGTTTATATTAAGAGTAATGTTTTGAGCGAATTCTGTTTTATGGAAATAGCGTTTGAATCACTTCCAGTATGTCAGTATGATTTAAATTGAAATACTAATATAGTAATATATCCTTCGAACAATGGTCAAGAGATAATAATGCATTGAAATGTTCACCGGATTACCTGACTCTAAATTAAAGTTTCTTTAGAATGTAGATAATAAGCGTACACAATACATACATACATATAAACATACAAATATACATACATATAGGTGGTAATTACTGTGTGAGCGCCGTTCATTGTTTACTCACCTTTAGTAAATTCAAATCATCATTTACGATACTAGTGTAATGTTGTAGTCCAACAAAAGAAGAACGCTTGTGTACAACCACCCTAATTAACTTTCTTGGCCGGTTCCCAAACACACTTATTATAACTCAGTTGAGATGAAACCAACCTGTTGGTGTGGTAATAGCCATCCAACGTACATTGTACAGTGTTCCTCGTTTGTATTTTTTCCAGCTTTGCGATTCGTCGAAGAGATCTTTACCAATTAAACTATCTATTGACCAATCCCATTTCTCTCTATCACGTATTATGTATTACTAATCTGTTCCAACTTCTTGGAATTCCGTATTCCATAACTCATTTACGTTGTACATCCATCTTCTCGTGATCTTCCCCTTAGTCTCCTCCTCGCTAACGTTCATGTTATTATTTCTTTTATTAGGCATCTGTCGTCTCGCCACGCATGTCCGGCCAATTGCATTCTTATACTTTTAATAAATCGTACGACATTTTCCTTTTTGTATACGTTTTCCAGCTGTGTATTCGTTCTCGATCCCCATTGTTCTGTTTCAGTTTTAAATACTAGACCGCTTGTATTCATCTCAAGATTTTTCTTTAAAATCTACGCGGTTTCTCTCCGTGACCTTTAACTGTTAACCACGTAGCACATACATGAGCTGGTTATAGCTAGTCTTATATAACTTACATAAAATTTTTCTTCTACATTTTTGATACTGTTTTTTATTTAAAGAACTTCTCTGTTGCGAGATTCTCGAGGATTATTGAATAAAAAATAAATTTAAAACCATGAACGAGTAATTTTTAGTATAATGAACATAATGAACAACGATGATAATATGATATTCATAACTAAGATGTATATGCATTGATGTTTGGGGTGTTATTTTAACAATATTTTTTACGAATTTGATCATTCATAAATTGATGATAATTAATACAAACGATCTATCTTTTATTTTGGATATTTTCGCATAATATTTAAAATGCATACCATTGCATGTTTTAACTATACCTAAATATAATAAATGCATGATTTATGGAATATTTAAAAAAAAACTAATATAAAGACTAGACAATATGTTATATTATATAACATGACAAACTGATAAATACAATTTTATAAGATCAGTAGTTTTGCAAAAATGTTACCGACTTATTTATGAGTACCTAAGACTAAAAATAATTATTTAGCTTACATAAAAATTAACTTCAATTTTCTCACAGAATTCATTTTGAAATAAGGAACTACTTCATTTTCACTTATAATAATGGTAATGATTACTGATTTCAGTGTATATTTATTATTTTATCATAAAAATTTAGCATATTTCAAAACAAATGCATATTCCATATAATTCTTAGCCTTACTTGTAATTATTGAATATTTTATAATTAACAAACTTTTGATACATTTTAATAATAAATGTAATTATTAATAAACGTAAGGTTATCAAAAAAAAAAAAATTGTACATCATTGTTTTTAATTTATATTTATGCCAATTTTTTCTAAACCTCTAATTCCAATATAGTTTGCAAATTATTACGATGTATTTGATATTCAAGTATCAAAATTAAGTAATTTATGGTAATATTATTATAAATATTCAATTGCTTAACGTTGATTCATTAGAGTTCATACACTAAGTTTAACCTTATTTATACACTCAAACATTGAAAATCATTTGAATAAAATAAAATTTCTTTGAATAACATACCTTAAATAATATTAAATAAAATAAAAAATTAGGTAATCAATAGTATATTATTTTAAATATATATGAATCCATTAAATTATAATATTATGTTAAGGGGCGGGCGGGGAAAAAATTCATGCCAGGAAAATAAATTTCCTCCAGGCCTTTCAAATTGTCATCTCTTGAATAGAACTTTTATTTTATTCAAGCATATAATAAATTTTATATTTAAATGTATATAAGTAAATATGAAATATAAAAATTCATTGCATAAGTATGTATTTTATTGATAAAACTATAAAAAATAACTTTAAATCTAAGGTAAGTAATAGATAACCAAAATTTAATAATTTTTTAAATGTCTTTACATAATATATGTTAATAATATGATCGGTTTTAAATGATAGATTATTATAATCAGTATTCGTTAAAAGTTTAGGTATATTACTTTTGCAATAATATAAATCTAATTTCATACATTATTTTCCACTTTGCATCAATAACTTTTTATTTTTTCTTTATATTTTTTAGCACCGCCTTTCCTTTTCTTATCATTCGTTTTGAGAAAAACCGGAAAATATTTAATACTGAAATGAATATAATATTTAAAAACAAAACGTTTTAAAACGTATGAAATATAAATGTAGAATAAAGGTACTCCATTAGTCCATCATACCATAGATTAAATATACTATTTAATCTATGATCATGCTGTATTCTGTTAAATAGATACACTGATGACAAAATAATGAGAAAATATATATTTGACTCGATAATCGCGAAGCTATAAGGTACATTGTCTTTCAGAACTTCGACGAAATTTATAATAATAGATAATATGTAATACACTTACATGGATATATCGTATTTACTATGTACGGGCTACGGCAGATTCATATCGAATAGAGCCGATCACTTATCATAATTTAAAATATAAAAAATAATATAAAAATGATTATTAATTAAATTTTTAATATTAATTCGTTTTCGTGTATAGATAAATATACTTCTCACATAACTCTACACTATTACACTATTTTCATAGATTTTTTCTATCTATACTTCAGGCCAACGGGCCATTTAGCTTCCAGGCCACCGGGATTTCTACTCCGCCCCTGGACTTATATTCGATGAATGTACTCAATTAATCTTCATTCGTTAACTAAGGAATATTACCTAAATGAATATTTATACATGTTTATAATAAGTTGTTTATTTGTGTTAAAAAAGATTTTCAATAGAAAATTTTATATCCGCACCGAGTTATACCATTATTTATATCATAAATATTATAATATTATAACATATACGCATATTACGCCGTTATTGCGGCATCAAAGAGTATTTCAACAACGCGTAGTACTGTTGAAACAACCGATGAACGGACGAATTTCACTTGAAGTCATAGTAAGTAAATCTGTGACTGAAAATCAAACGACTATTCAAAAAAATGCATAGTATATTTTTAAGTGTGAAACACATTGAATTCTAGTATCAAATACCTATATTGTTTACATATAAACTTTTCAAATTTTCGTCTGAATGTGTCCCACATTAAGGCCTATTTATATAGCCTAACGATATATTATACTATTATCCCTTTTAATAATTATATTATAATTGACATTGGTGTATAATTCTCAGAATCGGAATATTCCATACGCACCAGTTGTCACCACATTTTAGCCTCACATTCCGTATAATCGAATAACAGTTTTACATAAAATTGTATGATAATATATATTATGAATTTCGATGCAGCCATCACCACGCTGATGACATTTTTTATGGAGTTATTAAAATTTCAAAATTATTTTGTTAAGTTGACCGAAATAAAATAACATTAATATTTTTATTATATTCAATTCGGGCCATTGTTTACGTATAAATGTTTACTGTTTGATTCTAATGCTTTGTAACTGCAGTAAAACCAGTGGGAGGCGCAAGCCCGGAGAGCGCTGCATTAGCAGCATGCCATAAGTAGGGATAAGACGAGCGCGCCGCTCTCAGTAGTCACGTGTATTACCGTATCGACGCACCCTCGTCGGACGCCTTAAGGCTTGTTTTGTCGGTATAATTCGTCTCTCGCGCCAACTTGTTTCGAAATTGCAAATAATTTTTTACACCGTTTTTGTCCGCACCGTATTGTTATCAGAAAACATCATTAGTTTCGATAGTAAATGTACATTTTATTTACGATGTACGCAAAATCAATAAAATGAATAACGCCGGGTAAATGTTGAATCTGCGATGAACAAATACACAAATCAGGTATGACACGTTATTAAAAGTATTGATGTACTTTATAATCATAATAATAATGATTAAGTCCGACAAAACTCACGAACGAAGGGAAATTTTTTCAAGAGAAACATTTCTATATATTCGATGATCTTGTTAGTAAACGTTTGTACTTTGTAGCGTATTCACTAATGTGAATTGATATCCACTCTATTGTACATTCGTTTGTCTGGTATAGAAAACGCTTCAAAATAACGATGTCTCCAAAAGCGGTAGTGGTGGACGCTCAAAATTCTTTACAAAGATATTTTACAAAGTTAAGCGAGGCCTTTTGTACTACTAACACTTTGTCTATTTTTCCCATTTTACAAATACATTTCAATAGTTTTTTTTTTTTTTTTTGAAACCCGGATAAGATAGTGCAGCGAATTGGTGATACTGTAGTTAGTCACAAAACAATCCAAAAATGTATTTTTGTACAGTGCAATTTAATTATGAGAGTTTTCTGATTTCCTTTTAGTATAATCAATTTGAAATTATAAAAAACCAACGCTAAAAAGCACGAATATACAATTTTTTTATTTTATAATAAAACTAGATAATAAAAACGAATTTTCCCTAATAACATGAATTTAGAATTTAAAATTATTATATGTTTTTTAGTTTTTTTTTTTTTTTTGTGCAATCTAATATTAAACTTTAAATAATTATGTTGAAACGTATACGACATTAATTACAAAAGTTTTTGTTCTTTTAATTCATAACATAACGTAAATTAAACACGATACTCTAACAATTTGTATTTATCATAAATATTTGTGAGAAAGTACCAAATTATTTCAATATAGTTAAAACAGTAGTGATTTATGAAATAAGTCATGTTTCAGACGAACTGCCGCCGCATAATTTAGTCACACCGTTTAAATAACTTTATAAACAAAAGTTTAAATTACACGTGGGTAGATATAAAGACCTGCTTGTAATCCTGAATAACAGGTGAGGGTTAAAAAAAAAAAAAAAGGTAGACTACTTAATATTTTTATTGGACTCCAGTGTAAAAAAAAGTTTTTGTTTTTAATTCTTGACCGTCGTTATCCGCTAGTGCTAGTGTGGTTTTAGTACCTATTCCAGCCTGCATAGTACTCTGAATTAATTTATGCACCCTAAACACAAGACCGAATCGCGAAGGGCAGGATTTTTAATGGAGGTTTTTTTTTTTATAATTTCATCATCACCGAGTTTTCCATCACACAGCGTAAGGTAAATACTGACCGTACCGCACGGACGCGATGACGCTGCTAAAGTTATGAGTAAATGTTTAGTTAAATTTCATAGCAAAACATGATACGTAAGCAATTCAGAAAACATACTTTGGCTTGTATATACCATACATGTATGGTAGTACAACCAGCGTATTTGTGGATGGTTAGAAAAGTTTGATCACAACTTCTGACTCGAACACGCCCTCGAGGATAGGACACATTGTATATCGAAGTTCTTCCTGAAATAAGCGAACAAGAATGATAATACAATGTTCTCTCTTAAACTACATTATTCATAAAAATACACCATAATTTATTGTGAATAAATTAATTTCGAGTTGGGGTTTTTAATACGAGAGAGTTTAATTGTTTTAAATTAAAAGCTATCCAAATTACAGTAAGCATATTGTAATTATAAATTGAACTGTGCATTGATACTTTAGATCTTTGAAGTTTGAACTAAACAAACCTATGCAATACATTATTTAAGAATTATAACATTACAAGACGTTAATTTATTGATTTTTACTCTCTTAAAATCGTAAAAATTAACATACTTTTATTTAACATCATTATTATTTGATTGTATTTATAAAAATACAATAACATCATTAAAAATAATTAATAATAATATGCTAATATTCATAAAATATAATGAAATTGTCATTAAAATGCAACTAAAGAATTTTTTAGTATTTAGTTTTGTACATATAAGACTTATTTAAAAAATAATAATATTAATATACATTGTTAAATTAACTATATTATACCTAATCTAAAAACCATAACGTATTGAATTTCACGAATTTACAATTATTTTTATATTTACCACTCTTGCGTGTAATAAATGATGAAAGTTTACACATATTTTACGTAAATTTTCTTGCATCATTTTTAAATTTTTTAGAATGCGTTTAAATTTAAAGTTATCATACCTAATCGATGTTATGGTAGTATTTGCTCTACAGTGAAAAAAATGTAAACTAAAATATTTTAAATATAACTTGAATAGATCAACTATAATATGAATACAAATGTATTATAAAATAAAGTATAAATAATAATAATTTATAAATTTATATTAAATTTAATTTGAAATTTATCTACATTTGATGTACCTATACTATATATATAAGCCTTCAAGTTTAAAGAAATTAAATTCGACTATAATATATATGGAAATTTTCACCAGTGTTCATACTACTTGGAATTTACTCTCGGTTTTGAATAAACTTAACTCACTATATAATAAATTATACACCGTATGTAAACATATATATTATATCTACTATAGTTGGAACATGTAAATTGTCACCCATTTATCACAAACTATAAAATAAAGTTTGCAACTATCTACGTTAATAACTACGTACGCTACTATATATTTATTATCGGTAAGCTCGTCCACACGTGTTTTTTTTTAATATTTAAATATTGATGAATATATGAATTTAAACAATTAGATAGTTATCATATTTTGATTAAATTAAACATGCGACATATCATGTCTTGCACAAATATAGTATAGGTACTTCATATCTACTCCAAGTTTAAAATGTAAATAGGTATGTGTAATTGCAGAGATTTTAATTATTTAAATGTTTAAATTATACGTTAAAATTTAACGGTTATTTGCATTCCATTATTTTAAATAGAACTGCATTGTTGCAATAAACATATCACGCAATAATGAAGAAATATGTTTGGGGGCATCAATTTATGTGGAATATACTCATATAAATACATATATATATGTATATATATTTAAGTGAGAATAACTACTGTAACACGACCGACTAAAAGTTTTCTATTTAAATATTGGAATTCAAAAAATTCCGCGATTGTGGCTGAGGTTTTACAAGCATCTGGTACGCAACGTGATTAAAAATCGAACCGACAATTCCGCACAATAGACCACATTACCGTTTCTTGGTAATGAAATAAGAACTTTCAACGGGTAGTTATATAGTTTATATATCTAAATATAAACTAATTTATCTTTTTTATTATTTTCTTTGTCTCATCAACTCATCTAGATAAATAAAATTAAGTTGTCCATCAATTATAGTAATTACTTTAATTATTTATTTATTATTGCTTCTCATTTTATAAACTATATTGTGTTCATATTCAGATAAAATATTATTAGTAATTATATCTTTTGTGATAATGAATGTCAATATTCAAGTTGTTTTATAGTTAATGAAAGTAAAAAAATTATTACATTTATCAATGATAAAATATGTCATTCATTATTGTTTTACTAGTATATATTATATATTGTATACAATAATAGTTTTAGGAAATACTGCTATAACACTCTTAAATAATACTTAAAATTGTATAGCTGAAAATAGTTTTTTTTTTTTTTGTATTTTTATTCATATTTAATTAAATAGATAATAAAACGATATGAGATCCGCATGCACACACACAGGCATCATTATTTGTTTAAATAAACAAAAATAATTTGTAGGCAAAAAGGTATAGTAATGTTTATCTAATTGAAAATCAAAATTTATCTCTTATTTCAGTATCTATATTTAAGTTTTTATAAAATTATCTCTCTCTGTATCTAGATACAGATTTTTTTTTGTGGTCAATCTTCAATACCGATAACTTTGGGGACGCGTGTCATGGGGTTAAAGCCAAAAGGGTCGTACCTGGTGGGAATTGTAAAACGGGGCGGAGTCGATTTGTGTTTGGGATCGAAGTGTACGTATTTATATATACATGAGTGAACTTGCAGAATTAGGCATTTGTCAGTTTTGCAGGAGACGCATCTATGTCGTTACAGGTCATTGTGGAGACAATCCTTCCGATGGCGTCGCGGAGGTTAATGTCAAAGCCACGCCAAAGGGATATCCACCTACATTGTAGTGTTTATTAATTGCGTGACAGCAGCTAGATAGAGGGCGAGGAAGGGGCAACAGCGACTTGTGTCAGCGTCTAATACGCATTTTGGCACTGTCACAGTGTCGTTAATCAATTCGCAGAACAATTCGTACGGTCAATCGTTAGACCTTGTCCACCAGTCATTAATCACGAATCGATAACTCAATATGTTCGTATAACAGCTAGCCGATGAAAAGTTTCCTGTCTCCGTTTCCTAGTCTATAATATGATTTCACTTGCTGTACACAATACACCTTTCCTGCACATTAGACGTTTAATGTTTGTATAAAACGTTTTTCAAAAGAGTATATTGACCGGATAAAATATGTTTCTAATTGAAGACATGTTTGACGTGTTTACATTGCACATCTCCTCGGATTAATTTTCATGTCCCGACATAATTATTTTGTGTTTAATATTAATCGAAAACTGCACTTAACCACTTGAGACGAGCGAAACGTTTTGTGAATGCCAAACAAAGACGGAAAGTTAAAGCACGGCGTTTTTTAAGTACTGATTTTAACAAAGAATTTTTTTCGATTGTAAAACAATTAAGTCAAAAAATATTTGAAGACTATTACTTAGTTATTGATGAAAAAAACAACTTTAAAATTTATTACTTATTTGTAACTATTATAACATTTAGCAAAACGTATAATGACTTTCACGTTTGCTTATAAAAATATAAGCTATCGCATTAAATAATTAAATCTAATTACCTAGTTTTTATATTTTTAATATAACTTGACATACGTACGTTTAAATCACCAATAACTGATAAATTCGGCTGTCAAAATATATTTCTATACGTCGTTATCGACATAATGACTAGTAGAATAATGATCGTAAAACAACATTTTTTTTTCAGAAAAA